TTTGCAAGCATGGCTCAGTGTATTCCATCGCCATGTGAACACACGGAAGCATTTGCAACCAGCGGAAGCATAACGCTGTTTAGACATAAAACGATGTACCAAGGACACCTTTGGAGTCTTACGGTGGCGGAGTCGAAGAGCTGGGCTGGGCGGTGGGGTTGAAGCAGGCGGTGGTGGATTCATGGCAGCGAGTGGACAACTCATCGTCACCCAGGGTGAAGACGGTCAGGGATACCACCAATTCGCCATGGTATCAACGCATCCTGAATGGGCATGTTCCGCATCGGAGGGATTGCCGTGAATGTCTCCGAGGGGCAGGAAGAGACCGTCCACGTCTTCGGCAGCAGTTTCCTGGTGCTTTTACAATGGCGGTGGACGTGGCTGGGCCCTTCGCTCCAGGATGTGACCAGGACATGGGACAACCAAGATATTTCTTGGTGACCACAGTGACGGTACCAGTCCGATGACTCAGTGGAGGATGTGGAGGAGGGTGCCGAGCACACATTCCAGGATAGGCAGGAGATACTGCTGGAAAGTCAAGAACCGAATCCGTTCAAAGAAGCTGGTGATGATCGAGGCAGTGGTGCAAGAAGCTGAAGTGAAGCTGGCATCGTCCGAGCAGCACATCGCCGAGCTCAAGGATGTGGGTGTGAAACACCTAACTCTGGCAGCACCTCTGTTGAATCGCAAGGAGGCGACGGTGATTGCAGCTGCATCAAAACTGTTCGCAAGATACCGTACTCTGCAGGTACCAATACTCCGCATCAAAACCGATCGAGCAAAAGAATTTGTCTTTGAAGCGATTCAGGGAGTGGACAACAGCAAGAGATCTGGAGCATTGCTTCACCGCTGGAGACGAACCCACCGGCAGAGATTGAGGTGGTCGAGTGCTGAAGAATGCAACACGGGTTCTCCTACAATCTGCTGGATTGCCCATCCGGGATTGGCCTACAGCACTTAGGCATGCGGCAGAAGAACGACACCGTGGACAGCTACGTACCTTTGGATTGGACCTGCCGCGGTTGATTCCATATGGCTGCAAAGCCATGGTTCGGACAAAAACCTGGCATCGGCGCTGGGATGCGTGGAAGCACCCGATGATCGAGGCAACGGTCATGGGCCCAGCGGAGGGCATGGCTTCATCGGCAGGTGCCTACTGGGTGATGACGGTGGACGGGCATGGGTTTCGAACAACAGTACCACCGCGCAGCAACCATCGGGGGGGGAGTTCAGGCCGTGAACAATGGCTGCCCTGGTGATGCACCGGTGAAGGCTCATCGTCCTGAGCGCGATGGTGAAGATGCAGCGGAACTGCTGCATTTAGAGAACCCGCACTCCATTGCGAACCAGTTGAAAGAAGCTGCGGAATTTTGGGAGGTGTTTGACACCACATGGCTGCGAGGACCTTGGCGATGGAGAAGATGATGCCCAGGCTGACGACTTTGAGACTCGCAACGGCCAAGTGCTTGAAAGTCACTCCAGAGGTGATGGCCCATGATGGCCCCCAAACCTGCACCGGATTGGTAAATTGATTCACACTTTGGATGGTTTCAGGGGTCAAGGCTAGGGATATGATACAAGATACATGCTTTACCGGAGCGTTCTGGACGGTATTTTTTCCTCATGGATGGCGTGAGTTCACCAGCTGCTTGGTCTTCGCAAGATGATGGTCATCAGAGCTCGGGCGGCGTTCTTTGATCCACGTGTTTTGAATTTCACAATGAGTTCAGCAGCGGGACCCCACGAGGATTGCAGGGAGGTGTAGTCCGTCTGCCCCTGTGACCCACACGTTCCGACCGCGTTTCTCCCCAAACGGCCAAGGCCCTGCTGTCCTTTGCAGGACTCCAATGAGGCGAGGATGGGTGATCGGTGAAAGAAAGCGGACCCGGCATGGGGCATTTTCCAGGGAAACAGCTTGGGAGTCAGTCTAAGCTTTGGCCTTTGGGGATTGTTCCAAAATGCACCAGCAGTGGACGCACGCCCCAAAAACGTGACATGGTTTGAACAATTCCTGAGCTGTTCGCTTTGGCCTTGGCCCAGGCCAAGGTTATGTATGTGCATGGGCTTCCCACCCACTCCCTATTGGCAGCTGAGCAAAAGAGGCATCTCTTCCGAAATTTCATAGGATCTAAAGCTCAAGTTTCGTCTCGTCCTCGTTTTTCACCAAAAGCTCGTCTCGTCCTCGTTTTTCACCTCTACATACCGCACCAGTCGTACCGCCCTCCAACAACCAGACCGTATACCATCTCCCCCCGTCACCACAGTTGGGTTTACCTCCATGCCGCGTGAGCGCGCCGCGGCGTTGAGCGCAGGACTGGGATTTGCCACCCGCCGTGGACAAGGTCGCCAGACGCTTTGAGGCACCGGACGGTGGAGAAGGGGGCCGTTTTTGGGGGAGGTTCTTGAAGGATTTGGAGCAACCATTAATGTATACATATTATATCATATGATAGTAATATATATATATATATTATGATGGATATTATTATAGATATTAACTCTGGTTTGAAGATACCAACTATTTTCGACCTGGGGCATCTCCCTTCCAGTCCGAGGCCCGGTGGAATCGCTCTCAGCGACCACACCCAGGAGGGACGTAGGATCAGCTGCAAAAGGGGAGTTTGGGAGCGGTGGCACCCCGTCTTTTCACAAGCTCACCTGTTCTTAAGAACAGGTAGAGTTCGTTCGGTGAACCTGGTATTTTCCAGGGCAACAGCAGCTCAAGGGAGTCCGTGTCCTTCTCTCCTCATTCCGGTGGAAAGGGGCGAACCGCATCCCTGCAGCGAGTGAGTTCGGCATCACCTGATCCGCGAGTGCGGTTCATCATCACAGTGTGTGGTACAGAACCAAATAGGTCTACTATGGTGCTCAGTGTGAGCACGAAATGGTTCATCATCACAGTGAGATAGTCAGACTTCCGACAACAGATAGCGGTTTATCAGATCCCGGGAGCAGACTTCCAACGACCTGGTCCCATGCAGAGTTCAAGGGGTCCAGACGGTCGATCTGCGCAGCTGCGCTGGGGAGCTCCCTCTCTGGTACGACTGGTGGCCCGTGTGGTTCCAATGCCTTGGTTCCTCTCAGACGATCAAGGCATAGACATGTATACAAGTCCGAGAGTGTTATTAATATATATATATAGTGGTGACTGGGATCCTTTGGGTATAGGTATATGTCAAGTGTTCGGGTGACACTCAGGATCAGCAGGACTTGAATTTTACGGAGAATGGTTAAACATACGCATACATTTACGGTACAGGCAAAGCAAGCAAAACCAGAATGAATCATTGAAACTCTCCTAACAGCCCTTTGTCATGTCGTACAGCGATTTCGATCATGTCTGGACCAAATTTGTGAAGGGGGATTCTGATGAAAGGATACCTGGACCCTTGAAGGGGTATCCAAAAAAGGATCCAGTATGGCAGTATGTGATGCTACATGATCCTTCTATAGTTACATCTAACTAGTGTAGGATGGTCCATTTTTCGTCTTTTTTCCCGGTCGCTTCGTCTCTTCGCCTCGCCAACCAGCAGCGCTTCTCCGTCCCTGGACTCCAACCCATTTCACCAGACCTGGTCGACCCCAGTCCCACGACGAGGACGCATCGTTCCGGACCCGGTCGGTCTTAAACCAAAGAAGCGGCATTGGCTGGTCGATCTCCTTTTGGGAGTCTGTTTTGGTCACTCCGGTCTTTCTCGGTCTGAAGCGGGAAAGAAGCGACACACTGAAGTCACCTCGAAGCGGAGGTTTTTGGGAATTCCCTACAGGTCTTGTTTGACCCAGGTCCAAACCTGAGTCTGAAAACCTCCAGGTTACTAGTGGTTGTTGATATTTTCTCCTGGCGCCATGTTCCCCGAACCTCTCGCCGCGAACCTCTCGCCCTGGCCGCGGTTGATCCCAGTCGCCACTGGCCGCCGACTTCGTTTGACACAGGTGACCCTGGAAGTCCTGGATCACCCTGGGCCCGTTGGGTCAACCTGAGGGACCTGAGGCGAACGGCCCTTGGGCCGGGAACGGTCGAAGCTGGGTGTGGAGGGTTATGGTGGTAGGGCTGAGTCGTGTTCCGGGCTGGGCTCTCAGGGGATTTGGGAAGATGGCGGATGGGGGATGGGTTTGGGGGCTCCGGTGCTTGAACATTTGGAGGAAGAACGAGTCTTTGGGCATGCTGCAAGAGTTCGAGCATCTACCATGGTTTCGTTGTGATATTCCCCGTGGAGTCATGGAGAAAAGCATTACAAGTTCCAAGTTCAAAAGAACACCAAAGCATGTAGGCCACTGTTAGCCCAACAGCATTCCGTCATGGCCATCAGAACATGACTACATGTCCTAGCATGTTGGCCACCGTAGAGCTCCATGATCGACCTGCCTGGAACTTGCCAGAGGTGGTCGACCAGGCCAGGAATGGTGAACTGCAGGTTGACTGTGCCCTAGGGCTCTTGGCCGGTCAGTCGACCTTCTTAGGATCTGGAGATATCTGGAGCCCTAAATAGGTAAGTCATGTAGCCCAAGATGAAGTGTTTGGGGTGTTGCCCAAGCCGCGCCGATGCCGGAGAGGCACCTGGTCGTTCGGCCGAGAGAAGCACGGCTGAGTTTCGACGATGTGCGGTTTGCGCTCAGAGCATGGCTTGCAATCTCTGCAAACCCAGAGCATGGCTGGCAATCTCTGGAGATTTGCTATGCAACGCTGCTTGGAAGTTGTTGATGAGGTGATTCTCCATGTGTTCCTTCAACCTGTCCCAGGTTTGCACCATGCGAACCTCTCATGTAGACGATCACAACGTGCACCACAAGCCTACAGCCTACATCATCAGTTCACCACAAGACCAGGCGACCCTAAAGGTCCAAGAACTCGACTACCGAGAGTCACATGGAGTTGGGTGTTTTTTCGTCCCATCCAGGGGCTCTGGAGTAGCTGGGCATCCGTCTCCATGGATCGCACCCTACTGCATGGGTCTTACCACAGCTTCAGAGCTCAAAGGCGAAGACGATCTTCCAGCAGTTCCGTGGGGGTTTTAGGGTGCTATCCATGGAGGGTGCGGGTGCTTTCCATCCACTCACTGGATGGTACTACCCCTAGTACCACCCCGTCATGTGACTGGTTGGTGTATCTCATTGACCCGTTTTTCTCACGGGTGAATCTCCCATCGGCCTGCGCCATCAGCATTTGCTGGATTTCTCGTGGACCCAGTCGTCACCCTTGTCCAAACCAGGTGCCAGAGACCCAGAGACCCTCCCTGCCACAAACATGGAAGTGGAAAACTGCAAGTTCCAGGGGTCTATTTGCCACTTCCATGATCGTTAGCTGCTAGAGCGCCCCATGAACATGGACCCCCTCACTGGGTTGGAGGATGGTTCCTGGTGAGTGATAGGCCCACTTCGAAGCGATTGAAATCCGAGTTAGGCATAGTAATGACAACTAGGTTTTTTTTTGATGGGCTTCTTGTACATATGTTATCATCCACCATCCAACTGCTTGAGCTGAAGAGTTATCAAGATGGCCAGCCATGATTCGGTGCCAAGATCTCAGGCTCCAAAGTGAGAATCACTCGAGGTCGTGTCTAGTGACATTAGTTGCAGTATGTTGAGATGCTGCAGCCGCACGGTGTTGTTTGAAACAGCAGAGAGAGAGAGAGATAGGTTGCGCTCAGCAGCAAAAAATCAACAAATACCCTACCAGCACCCTCCAACAGGCTGTTAGTTGAGGGTTGTTGGACCCTGTCTCAGGTCTCAATTGGTGACCTGTCGGAGGGTCCTGGTATAGGTCAAAGATTGATCATAAGAGGACCAGGTTGAGACCTGGGTTAGACCGGACCTGTAGGGTTTGAGCTGCTAACGTTGCAGGTTGCGCCACCACAAACTCTCCTCAAACATATCAAGTCCATGCTTGAGGTCTGTTTGAGGGTTTACTTCCTGAAATATCGGGTGTGGCTTAAGGTCTTGCGTATGGTCCCTTGTATGAGTGAATCCCCTTCTCGGGATGTTGTTCCCAGTTCCTCAATCAAGTCTAAGTATCCAAGTATATAATAGGAACAAACAGGCTTTTGCCTACAAAAGCACCTCCTTTTGAGGCCTCATCGCTGTGGCAAACATCACCGGAACAGCTAGGTTTGGAATTTGAGGCTAGAAGCGCCCGACAAAAAGGGATCCTTGAGGCCTTCAGGGTCACCCGGTCATCCCCTCTCCTTCACCGGGAAGGGGGGTCGTGGCAAGAAGGGGGTCGTCCCATTTAGATTGGGTCTGCCTGAGAAACAAGAACATGATTTTAGAGAAAGGCCTGCAACTAAACCATCATCATCCGCTGTTATTGATAGTAAGATACATCCAATTAACTTTTAGACCTATACAGGCATGGGGGTAGACAGATGCCTTCCTTAAGCCTTCTACCAGGACCCACGCGAGTTGGGTGGTGATTCGGCGTGTTGGGGCTACGAAGAGGCCCCCCCCCTTCTTTTCGGGCAGGTTTCATGTTGGGAAGACGAACGAAGCTGAAACGAACTGGATGGCCTGGATGGCTCCGTCGATCCAGCGCAGAGTCGCCGGTAAGGTCGCCGGTAAGGTCGCTGGTACGGCACTTCCGACCAACAAACAGTTTGGACCGAACCCAGGGCCTTCAAGAGTTCTTATACTCGCTGCCTGGCCATCTCTGTGTGCGTACATGTGTCCTCAAATCAGTTGGTTCAGCAGACATCGAGTTCAGCAGACATCGATCTGGTGGCTTCGGTGTTTGGTTTTGGCATCGTGCCTTCATGTGCCGTTCGGAAAAGAACCTCCCAACAGTGGGTGATAGCACCCACCTGGTGGTTTCAAACCGTGTGGGTTGCTATATGTTTTGTTTCGTTTTTTCTGGAGCAATTGCACAGTCTATCTCTTAATACAAATCAAGGCAACTTTACATCACTCATCACCACAAAACTCTGACGACCCATCAGCTCCCCCCACTCCGAGGCCGCCCGCCATGCCACGGGCGCTGAACTGGTCCGCTTGGCTCAGGCGTTGAAGGGCAGGGTGATGTGCCGTTTGTCACGGAACGCGACTGATGGGCCCGAAAGATACAAGCTGACTCTGGCCACAGGAGACCTGTTGGAGGGTGGTTTTTGTCGCAGACACGACTGATAGTATGATTCTGATTAGTATATGCATGCCATTGACATGAGATTGGACCCCACAAATAAAGCACCCCAAGTGATCGGCAAAGGAGTCCCTCCCATTGGTTTTGGGATGTTTTGGGTATGGACAGGAGTGTAGGGTGTAAAATGCGACCAATTCATCGGACCAAGACTTCTCCCATGAAAACCCGCATGTAAGGAGTCACACGTTGGGGTGGTTTGGCTCGTCTCATCCAGGAGCTGTGGATGTAACATGATGTAAGCGGGGCACCCCGAGCTCTATGCGCCCCTATGCACCAAGTTTGGCACCCCGAGCTCTGTCTCTGTGACTCCTGGTGTTTTTTTCTGACTTGCATGAACATCTGGGGATCGAACATCCGGGTTGGTCCCCGAGGTTGGAGGTGTGAAGCCGCGAGGAGGGAGGATAGTGGATGTGGGTCAGCGACAGTTGAAGGGCAAAAATCAGCAGCTTCCCAGAAGTTTCATATACCAGGAGCTTCGACAACCTAAAAAAAAGAAGGACGAAATTGAAGAAACCGGTTATCCAAGGTGCTCATGAAGAAAGACCGGTTTCACTTGAAAAAAACCGGTTTTTGGTGATCATCCCAAGATTCCAGACTTTCCCATCCAACCGAGCCAACCCGTGCTGCTTCAGGTGACGCAGGTGACTGATCTCAGCCAAGGATCAAGGTGTTAAGAACCACTTGAAGAACCATTGCAGTGTTTGCATACGATCACTGAACAAATTTGCTTGACCTGTAGGATATCGCCCTGAAACCAATCAAATGAAATGTGGTCCTTGGGGTGAATATACAGGGTGCTTTGTTGTATTAGCAGCTTCATTCTTGGGAAAGCACCATAATTTGTAATTAGAAGACCCTGGCGGCCGCGATGGCCCCTTTTGCCGCGATGGCCAGAAGATCATCCCTCAAAGGCGGGCTCCTGTGTGGACAACGTTGAGAATGGTATTCAAGCTGGGCGGGATTTTTTTGCAAGTGTTAGCCAACAGGAGTGGTCAACTTGGGGTGAAGATGTGTTGTTCCAATGCAGCCTTTCCAACCGGCCCAAGCGGTACTCTAGTGCATTTGAAAAAAAATGGGTGACAACGTGTCTGCTGAGAATGATGGTGCGAGGGTCTTGATGAATCTCTCAGACATGGCCCAACAATGGGAGACAAGTGCTGCTGTTCGGGAATACCTTCGAAAAGCTGAAGGTGCTGATCAGCAGTTTTTGTTCACGGACAAGTTTCAGGTGAATGTCAAGAGTGCATGTGAGGAGCACGTGTATGGGATCTTGAAGCCCTTGGTACTGAGGAGAGCAGAGACTCCTCTGCAGGCTCAACCACACATCGTCCCACTGAGGGAACAGATTGGACTTCTCTACAAGAAGCTGGGCATCATCGCAGACAAGGACCAAATCTATTTGGACAGCTGGTACATGAAGAAATTGCGGGCGTTCATCCAAATGAAAGTGAGGAAACAACTGGTGACCACAGTGCCTTGTTTACAATCTCACTGGCAGAACAGTTCTGCAATGAATGTGCATGTTTTATTACAAAATATGTCTTCTTCTTGAGAGACCTGCAACAAATGCTGGTTTGCTGTTGGAACCATAAGGTGCCACGATTCCAAGAATACGTCCTGGTGCTCAATCCTCTGTTGCAGGACTGGCTTTTTGGATGTCCTGAATCTGATTTCATTGGAACCCAACAAACCCAACACCTTGAGCTTTAAAAAGGGTTTGAATGAAAAGCAAATTGGGAAGTATGGTTTGGTACAGTGTTCTTGCCCCATGTGTCAGGTTGAGGTGGACCAAGTGAATCAACGACTTGAAGAACGACGGGCCAAGGTTGGCTTTCTTCTGAGCTTTCGCATTCACATGTCAATGTTCAATCAAAAGGTGCAAACTGAAAGTGAAAGAATGTACGGAACCTGAAACATGAATCTTTTTCTCTACCACTGTTCAGGCATCACCCACGGAGCCTACTGCGGATGAAGATGCTTGGGAAGAATCTGACAAGGAGGATGCTGATGGTGAGCAGTCGGATTCTGATGTGGAGATTGTGGGTGCTGAGATTGTCCCTTTAGATCCTTCAGGAAAGGATGTTGTGCCAGTGGCCTTGGAAGCTACCTCTCCGGTACCCCCTGCTGATTCCCAGCCGTCTCCTCGGCCTTTACAGCAAGAGGTGGCGGAGGTGGCTCGTTTGCCTGTGCCAGAGGATGCTCCAGCAGGCGGGAGCATGGGTCCACACACTCATGCATGTACCTTATTTGCTTGTATATCTATAGAAGTCCTATATACAAGTTGGTACCCATGGCAGTTGCCGTGTATTTCCAGGAGATTCCATGACTGAAGAAGACCAAGAACAACTTCGTGCCTTCAATTTGCTGGAGGATGCGAAAAGCCGACTCCAAGAGTCAGCCCCTAAGAGTGCCTGTGTAAAAGGCTGCCATGATATGTATAGTAGTCTGTTCTCTGACAAAGGCTCTTGTGCACGGATGTGTTTAATATCTGTTTCATACTCAGGCTACGTGACAAACGAGCACGTCTTCAACAAGCTTTGGTGGCCTTCAAGAAGTCAAATGCATCGCCCCCACGCTCCAAACCAGCAGTGAAGACAGGACTATATGTACATGAGTTGGTGCATGACCTGTTGTATGTAAACGTTTTCTTGAGGTCTGCTCGCTGAGCTTTTGGAAAGTGCATGTATAAATGGGAGTGCAAACACTTGAACAAGTGAATTACAAAATATATGCTTTATGCACATTTGGCAGGAGACCAAGTCAATTTCACTGACAATCTTGAGACGCAGGAGGTGGATATCATGACTGCTCCAGCCCCCCACACCCTCTCCAATTCCTTCTGCATCGCCAGTGCTGTCAACACAGCAGCTTCGGCAACAATACCAGGGGAAAAATGACAACGTGTCTAGAACACTTCAATATGGCAGTGTGCCGCCTGACCAGGATCAGGATGGGCAAGAGTTGAAGTGTGAGAAGACTGGTGATGAGGAGGAACACGCTGGCAACGGTGATGCTGGCCAGAAAGGTGGTGAGGAGGGTGAATACCCTGTGAAATTGCTGACGCGGAATGATCAATTGTCGATGAAGAAGTCAAAGAAGGATGCTCGGAAGAACAAGATGGCTGAAAACAAACGTGCAAAGGGGGGGTGCTCCCAAGAAGGGGAAGAAGGTGAAGAAGGGGAAGAATGGGAAGAAGAAGAAGGGCAAGAAAGCCCTGAAGAACAAGAAGCCAAAGTCGCCTTCACGACGGAAGCTCCGGAACCTGCAAGCTGCGGGCGCTTCGGCTTCAAGCGCAGCTGCAGCTGAAGATGCGGGTGCAAAGCGTCGCAAGAAGGTGAAGAAAAGCAAAGAACCGGGGGTGGTCTTGAATGAAGTTGATGCTGAAGAGACTTGGGTGGATCCCCAGGAAGCTTGCGAGTCAGCTGCAGGGCGAAAGTCAAAGACAAAAGGAAAGGGGAAAAGTCCAAAGAAGGCTCCCAAACCGAAGGCTGAAGCGAAGGCGAAGGCCAAGGCCAGCGCCAAGGCCAGCGCCAAGGCCAAGTCAAAAGGGAGGAGACGCAGGGGAGATGCTGATGGCGACCAGTCTGATGCTCGCTTCTCAGACCCAAGGCTGGCACAGTTCTTCATTGACTTTGCGAAATCGGTTGGGGGCAGTGGCATCAAAACTACATCTCCCAAGTACAAGAGCTCTGTGCGCGCAGGGCTTGCTGACTTGAAGGAGTGTGCGTACAACATGTACTGGACCAAATGTAGCTGTGGTCTCAGGATCCAAAATGCCTATGATGCCTTCTACTTTTCGTTTGTCACATCGAGCGCGGAAAACTCCTACAAGATGGCGGTTGCAGCCAAGTGCTGTGAGATTTGCGCAACTTGATGAAGAAGAAAAATATATATGTATATGCAGAATGTGTTTTATTAAAGCCTGAACTGCACATGGCCTTTATGGGAAAGTGAGGGTGAAGGTCTGAAGTATGTATGTCATTCATTTTCTATTATTGCCATTCTCTTCTTCCCTACCTAAGGCACAAGGCTTCGAGGACAGGGATCCTGACTTCACTGATGGTGACGATGGTTTCGGCCCCAAGTTTCAAAAGGTGAAGTACAATGCCAAAATGGCTTTGCACCTGTTGGCCAATGAAGAACCTGTGGCGAATGAAGATTGAGATGACGGTCAGTGCAGTATCCCTAGCATAGCCAACTGGCTGGGGAACTGTGACTTTCCAGGGGTATCATCTCGTGGGGTTTTATCACATGCATGGCGGAACTGCGGCTGCATGTGTATATATGTGTGCTAGAGCGGCCTTGATGATTGGACACAGTTTGACAGTGCTCGTGGTTCAGTGTTGGTTATGCTTGCCAATCTTTCTTTAGAATTACAGATACTAGCAACGCAAAACTATGGAAGCATGTTGTAGAGCGAGCGCTTTGGATGTTCCAGCTCACGGTCTTTTTCAACGACAGACTAGATCAATGCCACTGCTTTGCATGGCATGAGGTGGAAAAAACAAGTGGGTGTGGGTGTGCTGCATCCCAAAAAAAACACGTCTTGAATCCCCTCCGTCCCCACTGCTGACCCTTGCCGCATGCAGGCCTCTCTGTTCCTGGACGAGAATGCCTGCCAATGTTTGGAAGGTGCGTTCCAAATTCGGCAGTGGTACCAAGCGAACGGGTGTTGCTGACATGATTGCTTTTACTTGGGCCCGCTTGGGCCACTATGTAGTGCACACTGCCTGATAAGGCCTCAAGTCTTTACATGTGTGCGCTCATCTGCATGGAAGTGACCAGAACTTGACACCTGCTGTTTTTTTCAAGCGCCGTTTGCAAGCAAGGGCTGATTTACAGTGTAGCGAGTTGTGGGTGGCATGACTAGTGCAAACGGTGAAGACCACCCAATGGATTCTGGCCGATTGGATCGTTTGCTTTTTCGATTGCAAGCACTACAGTGTCCCCGTGTCTGACCCTCAACGACAAAGCTTTGTGCAAAATGGAAAATGCACTTCCTTGGTTATATAGCCAGACCATGGCCCTTTTGAGCCCCTTTGCTTCCCAGGTTCTTGCCTTGATCATCTTGCTGATCACTTGGACACCTTCGCTGTCAAATGGCTTTGAGGAGCCCCCCCCTGTGTGGAATGAGAACAGGTGATTGCGTATATATCGTACATATTCGTACATCTATCGTACAGGTGTTTAGAGAGAGAGAGAGAGGCACATCTATCGTACAAGACTCTCACCAATATAGTCTTGCATTGCCGCACGCAGGACTTCACTGGTGGCTTCCAAATGGTGGAGTACTTCGCAGGACATGGGAACTTGAGTAAGGCAATGAAGCTGGCAGGACTTCGTACAGCTAGCTTGGATATTGAATATCGAGGTTGGGAGAAAGGAAAGAGTTACAAGAGTAATGCCATGGACTTTACCTCAGCATCTGGTTTTGCGAGCTTTGGCTGCGTTGACTTGAGGGTATCGGGCTTGCTGAGCTTGGACACGGGGGGTCCAAAATATCAACGTAAACCTTGGATGCTATATACGCTTCCACCTCCTTTCCTCCCTTCTTGCAATATATCACCAGGTGATTACGTTCTTGAGTTTGTGTTTGGTTTCTGGACATGGGGAATATGATACAATGCACTGTGAAAACCAAAAGGCCATTCCTTTCTTGTCAGAGTATTTCCCTGTGAACTTTATTCAGAAACGAACAATGCGTATATATACATGGCTATTGCATTCCAACACATTGTTTTCTCCTTTGGGATGCAGCGTATCAATCCTCCAATCCATCACTCTCAAAAGAGAAACACCAACCAGTGCAACGCCAAATCCCTCGGAAGGACTCACCGACGCATGTGTCTTACCAGTCACAGGTATATATAGAACCCTCAACCTTGCTGTGTACCTTTTACTTTGGCCAGTTTGGTTCTATAATTTGATTTGGCTGGATGTCTTTATGCTTTGTGAAAACAGGGTACTGGCACCAATGTCAACAGATCCATCCACAACATGCGTGGTAGAGGAACCCTGGTATATAGAGGAACCCTGGTTTATATACAGAGGAACCCTGGTATATATAGAGGCTATAGAGGAACCCTGGGTTGTAGAGGCACCCTGCTATATAGAGGAACCCTTCGAGTGCCCATTCCTCCTTTCCCGGCCCAGGCTTTGCCTTTCGCTGCTCTTCCAGACCGACAAGAACTTCCTCGCGACGATTGCTCTGAAGTGTTCAAGCTGGACCGCGGTAAACCAGGGCACCTCGGGAAGGGCACCGTGTGCTAGCCTAGGGAACGAAATGTACCCGAGTGTGAGGGCAGCAAATTGCATGGGGGGCCCGGATTCTTTGCTGATTTGTGACTGTGGATGTCATGTTGAAGGGGAATTATTGTTTGAGGTATGACACCATGGTTTGTGCCTCAACACTGTATATATATATATGCTGCTGAGGACTGTATTTTTGGCAATGGTGATTACAGCGCTTGGAGGAACCTGGTTCATAGAACAACCGGAGCGATCCACATATTGCTTTTTCCCACCATTCATGAACTGGCTCAGCCTTGCCCTCAATGCTGCTGGAACCACTGCGGTGCTTCCCTAAGTGTTGGGATGAAGAGTGTTGTGTGTTGTCATGTAGGGGATGTCATGAATCCTGTTTGTTGAGCCTGGCTATGATGCCACACCAAGGTATCAAAAGTCTACTGGTATATGGGTCACTATTCAGCTCCGACTCAAAAGCCACAATATGCCTATTGCAACAGCAGTGTTGCCTTGGAGCTGCATCAAGGCCCATGGAAACGTAAGCATGAAGAACTAGTAGAAGAAGAATCTGAACCAGTTGCGCGGACTTGTCGAACCTATACTGATAAGTCTGGAAAGAGACGCTACTGTGGAACTCCCCAGCTCAAAGCTTCAGAGAGCTTCAGCTGCATTTCCTCAAAAAAAGGGTTTGACACTGGAATCCAAATCTTTGCAAGGTGTCTGGTGTTGTCCCCTGGACCTTGCAGCCAAGGGAGTATCCCATGCCCTTTGCCCAGAAGCTTGTGGACCTGTACTTGGACTTGGTCACGTCTCCCAGGGGTCAAGCGCCCTATCCAGACCCTGTGCCGCCCGCGCTCCAGTCCTACCAGTGTCTGCCAGAGGACTGTGAAGGCCTAAGGTGGGCACAGCTGGATGCAGTGTATAACTACTTGCGTCGTGGGAAGGATTTAGAGATCCCAGCCCACTGGCGCAGATTTGTTCCACCGCCAGCCCCAGAAAACCCTGAGTGAGGTATGGACTGTTGTGGGTTGTAGTGGTCTCTCCGCGATTCACTGGATTTAAATTCGAAACCAGGGAACACGAAGCACTCTGATTTTCGATTTTGAGCACCAATTCCAGATTTGGATTTCCGGATTATCGAATTCCACCCTGGTAAAGAATTTCTGGTACAGCGAATTCGGAAACTTTCTCGAAAAAACAAGCACTTTACATGATTTTCTTTCATTTTTATCACTTTTGGTCATGAAAAAGTAGGTTTTCGATCGGAAACCCGTATTTATGCCGAACTATCCCGTATTTAAGCCGGACAAAACCCGTATTGCTGTTGCCCACAAAAAAACCCGGTTTTTGGGAAACCCATATTTAACCCATACGAAACCCATAATTAACCCATACTAACCCGTACTCAAAATATGGGTTTTTGGGGTCTGGCGCAAGATAGCATGTGACTGAGTTTTTAGACTCGGATCACTGAATTTGGCAGGGTATTCGAATCGACATCGTTGAGAAAAGGGAAAACACACTGCTTTTGCTGCCCTTCAGGCATCGATTGCTGTATCGGAGGGGTCTTCTACCACCGTTGAAGCACAATGCATGGTTCTGTTGAAGCCATTTGGTCACACAAGGACTCCACTGCTTTGTAACTAGCTCCTGAGGGTCTCAGATGGCTTCTGGGGGCGAAGTACAAACACGCTCCAAGCGATGGAGCTTGGACACTCTTGATGATGGTCTTGACTTCATTCTTGCGGAGAGTGAGAAGACTGAGCAGGAAGAACTAGAATTGCAAAAACTGATTCAGGACTATCTGATTGTTTTTTTGAACCCAATTGTGTTTGAACTGCATGTGTCGGTCCAAGTGTTTTCCAAGCTTGAACATCCAGGAAATGGAAGCCACAGTTGTCCAGAAAAGGACATCCGCCACAGCATCTCAACTTCAATGGTTTTGTTTGGGGTTCTGAGGGTATCCGGGTATCGGGTGTATTGCACCAAGGCTCCCGAGGATCCAGAAACTGCGGAAACAATTCCTGCGCCTTGGCGCGCTCTCCAAATGAACCCGCTTTGCAGTTTTTATTGTGGAAACCACAGTTCAACGCAGGCATCTGAGGAAGAACTCAAAGCTTCGGGCATCACTGTGCAAACTCACTCAAAGGAGGTCCCAGTATTTTTTAGGCTCAGATGCATGTTCAAAGCATTACGCAGAAAGCGCTTTATATCATGCTATCATTGTTGCAGGAGGATCCTGAACATGACGCTCAAGATTCTGGGAGGCCAATTCCTACACCAGCACGGGCTGAAGCTGAAAAGCCTTCTGCACCTTCCGATGGGGTTGAGGGGATGACCAAGGAACCCCCTCCTGAGAGAACTCCAGAGTCACCAGCGGTGGAGCCCACTGCCAAGTCATTAGAGACCGTTGCTAAGGGTGAGGAGGGTCAGGTGGAAGGGGTTGCAAAGGAAGGTCTTGAGAAGCCCGCTCTCGCCACATCCGCACCGGCAAAGCGTTGCTTGACTCGCCAGGAGCCCATCATCAATGGCCCATGTTGTTTATGTCAATATTGTACATAATATAGGGGGTGACCTACTATATATATATATGCATGAGGGTTTTGGGCGCGCCCTGCTCAGGAGAGACTTCGAGAAGCCGCCAAACAAAGGCTTCGTCGCATGTGCACGCCCAAAAAGAAGAGAAAGTCCCTGGATTGCCCTGAGTGGGTCCAGATCGAATGGCAGAACAGGGATAAGGGGACTCTGGCGCAGCTATTCATGGATTGCAATTGGTCAAAGGCCAGGTATATAGTCTATATAGTTGGATGTTTGCATCACAAGTTTTAGAGTCCCAATATCTTTACACATGCACCCCATACATCCCCTGTACTTTTCCTTTCCCCAGGAAGACTTTGTAGTCCAGTTGGAGGTCACCATCAAAAAGCGCATGAGTATCAAAGTTACCGTGGACGAGCAGTGGGCTAGTGAAAAAGAAATGCGGGAAGACTTGGGTTGGTCGGCGTTCCTTGTCTTGCAAACGTTTAAATTCCACTATATAAAGAAGAATTTGATGTTTTGCGTCTTGTGTTCAAAAAGATTCAATTGGAGAAATCTTCACTTCCTAAGGGCTCGAGGCTCGAATTGCTGGGGCCAAAAAAGACTGTGAAGCCAAGCGCTCTACCCACATAAGGCCTTTCATTCTTGCAATGATATGAAATTGTAACTACTGCTTTGTTTGTGCCATGCCCATCATATGTTGGCATAGGCGGAACCGCTACGACGATCAAGAGGAATACTATGTCGTAGTAAAGGAGAAGGGCCAGAGGGAACAGGAGGAGTCCCATGAGCAGACCAAGCGTAAGCTTGGCAAGTTGGAGGCTGTTTTGCAAACACCTTTCTGGAGCATAAAGCCTTTTAAATTCCACTTCTCTCAACCAGCCCATTGGTTCCATATCCCACTGCAGCGCTACAGGCATCCGAGGCGCCAAGCTTCGATGAGAGCCAGCTGACTGGCCTGGAGCAGGCAAAGGAGCGAAAGGTTGCTGATGAGAAGGTGGACACCACTAAGAAGGATGACCAGGGGCGTCAGGCCCAATTTTAGTCTCCCTTTGTCAGTGGTGATACAAACTTGAGTTGGTAAGAAAACATGTTTTTGATCCTGAGTTCATCTCTGCCCAGACCCAACAACAACTCCGGAAATTCTCTGAGAGTATGCTTCAGAAGGCAGGGAGGCTTAGGCAATTGGTGCGTGATTTGAAACGAGACTATGCTGGCAATTCTTCGATGCAAGCGTCCAGGCCTTACATTTGTGTGCGCTATATGGATTGAAAAAGCACGCTTACACCATGTCCCCCCAAGAGCTCTGGTCCCTTGCACGTTTGAGGAATGTCAAGACTTTGGATGGGCAGTTAGTGAAGATGGATTCTGAGTATGACAAGCTCCACAAGGTGATGGCTGACGGAGAACTGGCAGGGTATGACAAACAGTGGCTAGCTTAGCTGGCATCTAACTTTGAAGGGGCTTTACAATGGACACGCAGTGCAAACATGGTTTTGGCACCCTTTCCAAATTGAAAAGAATGTGCACTTGAGGTTTGTCACCAAAGCGACTGCGGCAATGAAAGATGCTACATATGTGTGCCCTCCTCAACTCAACTATATATAATATTGATAAGTTTTCAAAACATAGTTCACCCCCTTGGCAAATCTTCAGGTGCAGTGCGTCTTGTGCCTTGGAACAGAAGATCAGGCCCAAGTCTCATTTCGCCTCAATGAGTCAGCAAGAAATGCTGCATGGAGCTGTCCTTTTTTGGTCAAACCCATTAGTAACATGACTGGCAGGTCAGCCAAGAAGTATGAGAGCAAGGATGCGAAAGTGAAAGAACCGCGGGCTGGTAGTGGCACCACACGGAAGCGTGCCAAGGAAAATGTTGATGAGGATGTAAAGTCTTCCAAGGGGGCTAAGTCTGCCAAGAGTTCCAAGGCTGCCAAGGGCAAGTAGGATCAGGTGTTGTGCAAAAGGTCTTTTTGATCTTGGGGTGCGCAACTGCTCTTAGTTAGGGGTTGATGACGGCGGGATGCCTGCGCAACAAAGCAGGATAGAACCTGACGTCATGTGTGGGTTCTGGACAAGGTCCAAATCCACTTCTATAGTTCCTGCCTGTTTGCGTCTGCCCGTGCATGTTCCACTGTTGGTCAAACAAACCAATTTGATCCAATTTGTATCTCATTGTCTCGTCGTTTCACTTTGAGGGATTGACGCTTGTGGCACGCACTTGGCAAGATATGATTGAAACCAAGTCTGGCCATGTTGGTATGGGACATTGGCCACATGAGATCGCAGTTGAACGACAAAAGAAAACATTATTCTTGCAGTAGACCTTTGAACTGCCAGCCATATCCCTATCCCAATCCCAATCAGTGTTTGTACTTTCACTTAGACTCTTCACTGAGCCAGGTGCTGGCAAGGCACTGCGAGCGATCGCTGCTGATATTGGTGAAGGAGCCAAGGTCTCAGCAAAGTTGGCAGACAGAAACTCTCTGAAGTCAAGGTCAAGTTCGAACCGTTGCCACACAGAACCTTTGTTGTATATGTGGCTCTGCTGACAATGAGTTTCAAAATGAACAAAGAGAAACAATCCAAGTGCAATGAACATTGTTTCACATTTCCGACATTTCAGCACGAATAGTTTCCAATGATCTACTCTCACATTGAACATGAGGTTTGAAAATGGCCAGCTTTTCAAAAGCATGCATCCTTCAAACTTCAAACCCTACAGTGCCCTACAGCTTCCCATAATGACTCATGGCATCAATGGCGTTCCTCAAGAATCACCTGAAGAAGAATTGGTTGACCTGCTATCATGTCATAGGTCAGTGTCTTGGGCGTGCATTTAACTTTAGCATAAGTTTGCGTGTGGCTTGAAACAGGGTGAATGTGCTGCAAACCTGAAATAGCCCAGGAAAATGATGCCCCATATGCTTGGCGAAGTGCTCTTGGGTCCAAGCAGGACCAAGACAAAGCTACGTTGCTACCAGACCTACGGATTGATTTTTGGGGGGCTGGCGTGTCCAGAAATGTTCGGAACTTTGACTTTCAATCGAGCCTTCAAGTTCTGAAAGACAACGCCATTGCCAACGGCATAGCATTCAGGCTTCCAAAGACAAAGGCGGTGGCAGGTGGTGTATTACAGCATTCACTTCAAGTCTTGGAGGGGCTGTTTGCAAAATATGACCCTATGATCTTCAAGGTGGGGTTTTGTCATGACCCATCCTGGAGGTGGAACAACAAACTGTATGGATATGCTCACTCGCTTGACAAGTGGTCCAACATGACTGTTTTTTTTGCCTCGCCTGACCACATGGTCCTGCAATGCTGGAAGCAGCTCTCATAGAAAAATACAAAGGTAACTTGGCTAAAGGCAATTCAATGATAATATGGAACCTTGTTATGCCCTCATCAGTTCCTCCACCTGCATATGTTCATTGATGGAACTTGGATCTTGGTGATCTAACTTTGTGCTGCTCAG